TGGAAGGTGCTATGGCATGGAAATGAATGTGGAGAAAACAAAAGTAATGAAAATTTCGAGACAACCAACCCCAGTCACAATAAAGATAGACCAAAAACAACTGGAGAATGTGAAATGTTTTAAATATTTGGGTAGCTTGTTAACAGATGATGGAAGGTGTATGTGTGAAATTAAATCTAGGATTTCCATGGCAAAAGCTGCATTTAGCAAGAAGAAGAATCTTTTTACCAGCAAATTGGATTTAAATTTGAGGAAGAAACTAGTGAAATGCTACATTTGGAGCATAGCTCTGTATGGGGCTGAAACATGGACACTTAGAGCAGTAGATCAGAAACATCTGGAAAGTTTTGAAATGTGGTGTTGGAGAAGGATGGAGAAGATCAGTTGGACCGATTATGTGAGAAATGAAGAAGTGTTAATTAGAGTCAGTGAGCAGAAGAATATCCTATGTGAAATAAGAAAACGGAAGGCTAATTGGATTGGTCATGTTTTACGCAGAAACTGCCTTCTAAAAGAAGTTATTGAAGGAAAGATATAGGGGCGGATAGAAGTGACAAGAAGACGAGGAAGAAGACGTAAGAAAATGCTGGATGACCTTGGGGACAGAAGAGGATACTGTCGTTTGAAGGAGAAAGCTCTAGATCGCATTAAGTGGAGAAATTGTTTTGGAAGAGACTGTGGACCTGTTGTCTGACAGATTACTGATGATGATGATGATACCAGTAATAACCCTCCAACAAATAACCAAGTATCAGTAATTATTATGTAAATACATGTGCAGAATACAGACAGAAACTTGTCCTATGGACTGCCAGGTTGGAACATTTCCACGTAGTATTAAATTGACGGAGTTCTGTCTAATGATGGGAAGGGGTATCCAAGCTTGGCTGAATGACTGAATGAGCTACCAGGGACATGCGGGTTGTTTCCTTTCAGCCTGTTGAAACCTTAGCTTCCTTCCATCGTATCTGGTGGCCCTCTTCCAGCACATGTTTGTCTATTTTTTATTTTTCCAGGATTCTTTGTGTCATATATATGCTCCTTAATGCATACTTCCAAAGGTCTCGCTGAGATAATATTTTCCACAATCACAATGAATTCTATACACACATTGGCTTGTCTGCTGGATGTCTCTGACAGGACCAGTTTTTATAAGTGTCCCATAGAACGTATGTTATTTTTAAAAATGGTCTTAACATTGAAGTGGTTTCCAGTACATTGGAATTTTTCAGAAGCAACTGTAACATGTGGGATAATGACCATACCGTGATATATTTTATATGAAGAAGGATGGTTGCTTCTCCCCCACTTGATAATGAAATCAGTGAAGTGTTGTGGTTATACATTAAGCATCAGATTATGTTTTATTCTTAATTTCCTTGTTAAAATCCTTCTGATCCTGACATATGCTTGCCTGTATTGCTCATGCTATAAGCCACTCTTTTTCATGTGATGGGTGTTGTCAGACTCGAAATGTAAATAACATCCAGTACACTTTCAAAGATAAATTAGGAACCAGCTTCATGACCAAAACATTCATAAAAGGAAAGGAAGAATATTATCAGTTTACACTTTTGTACCAAACTCAATAGTTAGCCTGAAGTTCTTGAGGTGGCACAGAAATTTAATCTTACTGGCCCATGTGGCCAAACCACAAAGTGTTGTTCACTAGTCCTACCTGTATATCTGGTTTATGGTCTGCTGACAGTACTGTGAAGATATTGCGGACTGCTAAAGATAATGAGCTGCTGATACAGTAATAATAACTGTAGTTCCCTTGTGTCAGTGTGGTTCATTTGTTTCAACTTCAGTCATAACTTTGGTGTTGGTTTAATGGACTCCTTCTGGAATATATGCATGGTGGTAAGTGAAAGGGCATATCCATGTGGTTAAAAATGTATTTTTACCCTAACTCCCAGAGGTGCTTTCTGTTTTGCTTGGTTTACATATCATGACTTGAGTTACTTCCATTGTCCACAAACGGACTCAATCCATCAGGCCCAGCTGTGTAGATATTTTGCCAGGTGATGGAGCTGGAGTCCAGTCTGCAAAATATTGTTTTTTACAAAATAATGACAAGAATATTATCAGAAAAAAAAACTGATCGTTATATTAGTATACCATCTTAGTGAACTTTTAGATCTAACATGAATAAATGGTTGTACATCGTCAAAATGATCAAAATAAAACAGAGGAGTATCAAATCATATTGCCCATTGGGTAGGATAGGTTCTAGAGGTAGTGGTACATCTGTTTTTTTTTTTTTTTTTTTTTTTTTTTTTTTTGTGTAGAATGTGACATTTAGAAGCAGCTTCATTGTTCTTGATATCAGATTATTCAATAGTGAAAATTGAGTAGCTTGGCTACTCTGCTAAGCACATGTGCTAAACAAGTTCTCTTTAATATCTTGAAGGCAGTAAGTATGGTATTGCCAGTTCATCTTTCTCCCTGTAAGCTTACCCTTTTACATTCAAAATCAATACTATTTACTTGTTGGCATGAGTTTCTCACAAGTTACAGAGAAACAATCTTTTCGTTGAAATTTAAGTTTCCTGTGTCTGTACTGTGCGCTACAATTATGTAAAGTAACAGCAATTCAAGTCAGACATTGCATTGTTGAAGGGGGGAATATGCATAAATTAATGGTTTAAATGTAACCATAAGGTGTCAGATCCTGCTCTTGCAAGTATTTCGAGGATAAGTTCCATATGAGGTGTACTATCACAGTCAATAATTTCGTGGACTGGCAGCAAAGTGTCATTGCAATGTACTATAGTGGATAGGTTGAGGCACAATATGATGCCTTGTTAGTTCATCTCTCATTACAGCAAGAGGAAGTTGTGTGCAAACAGTGTGAGCAGAACTACGGGCTCTGTTGTGTACTGCAGTTAAATGTGAGTGGCAGGAATTGAAAGTGTGGCAATTTGAAGAACAGACAAACATCAAGTTCTGCCAGAAACTAGGCAAATCCCCTGGCGAAACATTTGGTATAGGAAGAATTGGCTGTTGCTACACAACACCCCTGCACATCGCCCTATTCTTGTCCAAGAGGAACTCTCAAGGCAACAGGTCACCATTTTGCCACAACCTCCATACTCACCTGATCTCGCACCGTGCGATTTCTTTCTCTTTCACCGCTTGAAAGCAAAACTACGTGGTCGTAGATTTAAGTTGTCTGAGGAGGTCGTCAAAACCACAGTCCACGAAATTAATGACTGTACCATGTATGAGATTGTTTAATTGGTCTGACAGAACAGCACATGGTATCCAGATGGGCTGATCTGCATTGTGACAGTGAAAGGACCAAACCATTCCTTAGCACTTCTTGATAAGAAGAGCTGTTTTGGAACTAATTTCTTTCGAAATAAAATATAAACTTCTTCAACAAATGTGATAATACAGTGTCTGAATGAGTTTTCACAAATTGATGCATGGGACAGCGTTTGTCAGAGAATTGTTTACCATTGCAAAAAGCAGATTGCTGGTGTGAGAATAATGGGAACATCTATTCCATTACAATTTGAATTTCACAGTGCTCAGAATGACTCATTAGGCATACTTATAAATTAAATTCTGTTGCATTGATAAAAGTGTTTAGAAAGGAAACGTAATTTCTGTTTGGTATCTTGATATTTGGTAATGAACTGATCATATGTCTATATAAGCTTTGGACAGTGGAAGGGTAAGTGCTTTGTGCATATTAAATTTTATTTAATTTACATTCATTGTAATACTATTTCACTGTATACTTAATACCAGTACAGTAATTGTTCAAAAAAGTGTTGACTTCATTGTTAGTTTTCTGTATGTACATGTTTTACTTTTTCACACAGATTTATGTGTTAGCATCATCTTGACAAATATTTTTGCATTCATTATGGCCCATGATGTTTTACAGAAATGCACACAACGAAATTTTGAAAATGCTTGTCTCTGTTCTTATCTGAATGTTTAGCCTCTCAGTGACTGAGCTTGTAAAGTTCAGAAACAGGCATTAAAAGTCAGAGTTCATATACACAATTGGCTGCCAGCAATTTTGTACTACACCAGGTTTGTTGCTTAGGATGCCATGTGGTCACTCTGCTCTTGGGGTTAAGAATATAAAGTTCCATTATAACACAAAATTCAAATAGAAACTTTTAATTAAATTATTGTTTTAAGTAATCTTAATGGAGGAGCATGAAGGCATAGGTACCAAAATTTAACTTCCAAGTGTTATCAAAATTCAGAAGAATTAAAATGTGCCTGCTGAAATGTTTTGAAAATTTTCATATGAATATTGGACTTATGGACTACCTAGCGGCCTCCATAGTCTAGAGGTAATGTCCCACCTCATGACTCGTAGTACGTGGGTTCAAAAACCCGGCGGAGGTCGTGGAATTTTTAAGGGCGGAAAAATTCAGGGAACAAGTCCTCCGGGAGGGACTTTAAGCTGTGGGTCCCGTGTCGTAGATTTACGGCACGTAAAAGAAACTCATGTCTCTAGGAGACCTCTGAGCAAAATTAAGCAACATTTCCTGCCCAAGTAGTTTCCAGTTCCTCCGGTAGATGGGGGAAGTATTAGGTACCACTGCCAGAGGAAGGGGGACCTCCCTGACAGAAAGGGACTGACTATTACATACCACTGCCAGAGGAGGTTGGAACCTTGGTGGCAGAAAGGGGCTGATAGTAAGCACCAGTACAGGTAGGGTATGGAGACAGTAGAAATTAAAGGGGGATGCACAATGGACCACTAACCAGTCTAAGTGCATGGGGAAACCCACCCCCTCAATATGGAATATGGAATATGGACTACCTAAGCTGCATTCTATAGCCATGGTGTTTTTTTTTTGTCCACAGAAAACTAACAAAATCTTCTTTGCTACACACAGTTCTGTGTGAATATTTGAGACATTGCTCAAAGGAAGACCGTGATGAGGCTCTCTTACAGATACAGAATTCTCTTCTGGACTTCACCAGTACAAGGGATGGTGCACATGTCGCCATAATGTGCATCTGGCATGCTTCAAATAAAGTATGTTAAAATTGAATGACAGAACAATTTTCAAATTACTCTAGTAGAAGAAACTCCTGTTAAGCAGATGGAAATTAATTGTGTGCATAGCATGTTTCATCCAAACATCCTGTGTACCACAGTTGCATTTTGTTGTTTACTTTAAATTAGGCCACCACGACTACCACATCTTTCCAATTCATTATTATCGTTTAATGCCATATAATCCAAACTACTGACATGGTCATTAAAGAAACCATAAACAAAATGAATGAAATTGTGTTTTACAGCAAATGAAGTGATATATTTGAACCTTAACATCTAAATTGATGTATTTCTTAGAAAACCTTACAGCTAATATAATTAGGTTGCCTTCATAAAAATCGAATTCTGAGTTGTAAAAACGATTTTTTTATCTCTGTTTTCCCCCCCCAGAAGATAGGAGTGTGACAGTTGGTTTATTTTACTGCTGAACAAAATTGAATCCAGGGGTATGTAATGTTGGTTTCAGTGTGGGGGCCAATGCAGAATGAAATATGTACAGTATGTCTTTATTTACAAGAAAGTTCAGTATTAAGGAAAACATTACAGAAGGTGGTTGAATTTCTGCTGTTCCCATACTTCCAGAATGAGACTGTTATTCTTGAATTCTGTCAGCAAAAATTGGACCGACATAATTAAATATTAAATCTCAGGATAAAGAGGTACTGGGAGGTTGCTATTTTCTTAATATTTTAAACTCATGCTTATGCCTACAGATAATTTAAAATGTACTTCTTTTTATGATAATTGCTTTCATAATCCTAAAGAATTTGAAATATGAGGGAGAGTCACTAAATAGGTTACATATGAAGTTAAAACATCTGTAATGGCCATAATAGGTTTTCTGTATCACTAGAGAGCTTTGTGACAGTCTAAGTAGCAGACATGCATGCGCATGTTCAGGGGCTGGTTTCAGTAGTGAAAATGGGGACTGTGCTTGAGGGGTATACTACTGAAGAGCAGCGTTCTGTTGTGCATTTTTTATGAGCAAAAGGATTCAGTGCAAAGGATATTCATAAAGAGTTTCCTGTTTACATTGGGAAGTGTTTGTTGTGTAAAGCAATTCACAACTGAGTTGAGAAACATGCCACATGTTTTGCTGATGAAGAGGTTGAAACAGAGATGGTGGAAGTGGCTGAGACAGCAGTCAAAAGACTTCTGTGCTGTGGGTTTCAACACACTGGTAAAGCATTGGAACAAGTTTATCATTGTTGGTGGAGGATATGTTGAGAATTAAATGTTATTTCCAGGTTCAGATATCACATGTTTTACGTTTTATGTCCATTTGTGACTTATTTACTGACTCTCCCTCATGTTAAGGTAAAGATAAAGTAACTGAGTTGGCCATGCCATGGCTTAAGCGATTATTCACTGGCTTCCCACCGCAGCGACCCGGGTTCGATCCCAGGTCTGGTCAAGTGGGATTTGGGTGGACAGAGTGGCACTGTGGCAGGTTTTCTCCCAGTACTTAGGTTTCCCCTGCCAATCTTCATTCCACCAAATTCTCCATCATCATAATCACCCAGGGCAGCTACAATAGGCCAATCAGTAGTCGCTGTGCCTAGTGGACCCAGCTGGACTCCACTCCCAACTAAGTGAATTTAAAAAAAGAAAGTAACTGATTTTATATGCTCACCACCCATAAGCTAGTTAATGGTCATATACAACCATTTAGTACAGTGAAACATCTTGAATATGTTCTTCATAGAGACATTTATATATATAGTGTTCCATTTTGTATTCCTGGTCACAGTTATATAAATAAATTTTTATTGGTACAAGTTCCTGATTAATATGAATTTATTCCTCATGTGAAATTTCAATATCACTACAGGATTTGAAGTTTAATTTTGTTATAATTATTTCCTTGCTTAAGCCTAAAGAAGGTTTCGCTTGATATTTGTGTCCTTATATATTACATGCAGTGAAACAAGAATGAAAATGCATTGTGCTTATTCTGACAGGTAAAGAAAATGATCATGAAGAGTTTAAAGGGACACATGATGGAAGTTGCCAAGTCTGAACATGGGCATCTGATTCTTCTGGCTCTGTTTGATACTGTGGATGACACTGTTCTCCTGAAAAAGGTATTGTCACGTGTTGGGTATGTCACGCGACAAATAACTTCACGTGCGTATACTAATTTCAGCTGTTGTTTTTCTGTGGAAGGAGGGAATTCAAGTAATACAAAATACATTTAGCAAAAATTCAAACATTGGATTTCCGTAACTGGTCAACCGTAGTGGACCTTCAAAAAAATTAATTTGAATTTTGATAAGCTAAACTAAAGTGATAAAATCTTGGGCAACCAGCCATGTTAATTCAGAGCAGAAGTCCAGTATTTCGGAGATCTGTGCCTCTATCATGAGAGAATAATGTGACATAATTTCTTGATGATGAAGGTAGAAATGATCACCAGAGTCAGCTTATGCTCTGTGTTGACACATCTTAGTTGTGAAGCGAAACCACGCTCTGCTACCACTTTTTTGAAGTGGAACCACGCTCTACAGAGGATCCTTCAGGTTGCATATAGGTTCTCGTGATCACAGGACCGGGCGAGCAGGGGAGGACAAAGAAATCAGCAAGGCGGAAATACCCAAACAGAAATAACCAAATCAAATATTAACAAAGAATAAATATAATATATTAATAAAGAAAGAATACAAACATAATGTAAATACCTGTATCAGAATGATTGCAGAGTTCGCTGTTCTAAGATAGAATACTATGTAGAGAAATTAATTTAGACGGTCGAGGATGACCTCGACCGGTGGTCCGAAACGAGAACAACCTACCCCATCGACGGTTGGAAAGCCAAAAGCCTAGAGCTCCACACGTTAGGCTGCTAAGTCGGCTCGGAAGGGGAAGGAGAGAAGGGGACAGTAGAGAAAGTAGAGGGGAGAAGTGAGCACACAGACCACGGACAGGAGCCGACGTCACAGTTGAATGTGAAGATTTGAGCACATTGAGTTCTGTGAGGTCCCGTATAATGATATTTACCATGTTGGAAACGTGGTCCATTACGTTAATAAGATTTGCTACGTCACTTATGTGTGTTTAGCACTTCATAATATAAGGTTCATGAGATTCTCTTTACTTTCTTATTTACACGTATGTAGCGTAGGGTAATATATGTATGAACAACATGGCAATACTCCTTTTACATGTGTAGTATATTCACCAGGACTGCCCTGTGTAAGTGGTGCTAGAGTTACGAATTATTATTTGCAAGAAATATTTGGAACTCTCTTCTAGTGTACATATTTTACCATGCTTGCTTTACTGCATGTATTTGTTTATGTAGATGCTGATGCCTGAAGTTTTAGGAGATTTATGGAGTGTTGCAAGTGATGAATATGGAAGGAAGGTCATCCTATACTTGGTAGCACATAGAGATCCCTTGTATTTCCATCCCACAGAAGTGGACATGCTCAGAAAGGGCGCTGCACTCAGCTGTATGTAAGTAGTTATATTCATAAATCCTAGCAATTGATTTGTGGAATGAAACTGAGATGATCCTGTGTGTTGTTCCTAGATATTTTCATAATATGAACAATTCAACAACTGTCACTGAATTTCTTTTCCATTAATTATGGTGACATCTTCCTCGATTATGTTATGTTATTAAGACAGTTTAACTTGACAATAATATGTCTGTCTCATATTCAGGAAGTTGTTCAACCTAGCTATCCAGAGGTTTTCCATGGTTTTCTTCAGTCTTCCAGTGGCGAATCCAGAATTCCTTCATTCTCGCCCTCTCAGTTCACAATTCATAATCATCCTGTCACCTCATTTGAAACTTCTTGACCTTTTTCACCATACATATCCTTCCAAGAACTTTGACATATTTTCCAATTAGGATCTAGTGGTTTTGTAGTTCCCACATTAATTGGTTTCATAAGCTTGCACTTGTAGTTTGTATGTGCCTGTTATTAAGAACAACACCACTGCTACCACAGTAGTGTTAACTACAACAAAAAGTCATGATACTATTCTGTAATTATACAAAATATGTACAGTAAAACATGTCTAAAAGGGACCTCTGTTAATTGGAAACCTGTCTTTGTTGAAAAATTTCTCTGGTCTTGAGAGTGAAGACTTGTATAAAACTACCTCCAATAAATGGAATCTGTGTAATATATATACAGGAAGGAAAAACTGAAGCAGTTGGTTGAGACACTGTGCTACAAGCCAGAAGGTAGCATGTTCGATTCCAGATGAGGTCATTAGATTTTTTCAATTTACCTAATCCTAGCCACACTGTGGCCCTGAAGTTGACTCAGCCTCTAACAGAAATGAGTACCAGGAATTTTCCTGTCAGTTAAAGGGCAGCTGGCATGTAAGCCTGACAACATTACCGCCATCTAAGAGCCAATTGTCTAGAAGATGTGGGAGCATTGACATCCCACAATCCTATGGGCCTCCACAGCCTGTTACAGGGACAGCTCACTTTTATTACTAGAAAAACAATGAGACTTGAATATCTATACTTTTGTGTCCCTATAATTTTGTTCCTGAAATTTATCTAAAAGTGAACATTCATGTCATAAATTGGAAGAGTCAGCAGTTCAAAGAATGTGTGAAAATTACTTAAATATATGTACTTTTATGTGAAGATAGTTTTGTTTCATATTATGCATCCTGAAATTTATCTGAAATGAAACATTCATGTTATAAATTGGAAAGGTCAAGAGTTCAAAAATACATGCAGGTTAGTTAAATGGGCTGTTGGGTTTCTTGCTTGTTTGCCCTTATGTTTGGCAGTGCAATGAGTGTTTCCATACCTGGCAAAGTGACAGAAAGTGTTGGGGGTTGGAGACAGTACCCACTTGATTTGTGGAGTGTGTTGTATTTCAGTGTTTTTAATAATGAACTTTATTTTGTGTTCAGTAAGAAGGATCTGGAAGTGAGAAGATCAGAATTGCTGGATGCAGTGTCGGATCCCTTATTGGAGGCTATTGCAAATGATGCAGAAACGTGGCTCAGCAACAGTTCTATTGGAATGGTTACACTGGCAGTTCTCAAATCAGGAAAAGGTTAGAAGATGGAAGTGTTGATTGGCTGATGCTTCATTGGTCAGGACTAGGTTTTTCTGTAGACAAGACAACAGGTTATATGCTGTTTTGGTACCTGAAACTTCATCACTGCCATCCTGAAACTCATCACTGGGCTCAACCTTGTACTAGTTCTGCCCAATTCTCATTGGAACCTGATTTGTCTTTCGAGAAAATTGTTAATAAAGTATCTGAATAGATTTTTTAACTGTTGCTACTGAAATATAAATAATCTGTTCACATATTTTCACTGCCACTGTCTAATGCAGTTAGTAGTAGATAGATGATGATAACAAAATATAAATGTGGCATTTTTTCTTTGTGTAGTATTTTCTCATATGTAAAAGTATGTATTAACACTTTGCAGACCACACATGCATTAATACGTTTTCCCACTTTTAAATGTGGTGGACCGGTCTCGTATTAATACGTTTTTAGAACATGATAAATTGCAACACACTATACATCGCTCTGATGCCACCCAGCTTGCACGTAGCTGCCTGCAGCTGCGTTATAAGCCTCTGGAATGTTTGCTGACTAATCAGTTACGTGACCTCGCTGTAACTGTATGCCCCTGCAACGGAAAATAAATGCCTTTACTTCTTCAAGCTGTACGTAGCAATCTGTCAGGGAGTAGTGCAATATGCGAACATATAATCCTGGGAAACTTACAAAGTATGGCCTACTTGTTCGTGTAGTTACTGAAAGCACTTCAGGCTATAGTGGAAATTTAGAATTTTATTATGGTGAAGGAAAGAAATTACAAGAAACTATTCTTTCTGTTTTGGAACCGTATCTTGATCAAAATTACCATGTCTATCAAGACAATTATAACAGTGTGGCAACTGCAGAACACCTACTTTTGAGAAAAGTATGTGTTTGTGGAACAATTAGGGTGAACAGATGCCTTCCTCCAGATCTGAAAGAGGAATGTAAATCCCTGAAACGTGGTAAAACCACATTCAGGAGAAAGGGGGATATTTTTCTTCAGTTCTGGAGGGATACTCTTGTTGTGAATATGATTTCCACAATTCACAATTTGAGCATGGTTGATGTTCAAAGGAGACAAGGACAGGTAAAGAAGCCTGTTTGTATTTCCGGGTATAATAAGTTCATGGAGGGAGTTGATAAGAGCTGATCACTACTTGGCCTATTATTCTCTTCCTTGGAAAACAGTAAAGTGGACAAAGAAAGTTGCCTTGTGGCTTATAAATTGTGCCATTTTCAATTCATTTTTGGTTTTCAAAAATCTAAACCCTCATTCAAAATTGAAATACAAGGCATTTCTGCTGAATGTGACAAAAGCCTGGGCTACAGACCGGACGGTGCCGGCAGACGCAGACTTAGTGGGACCAGGACCGTCTACTCCCACCCCACACAGGCCTCATGTGGACACCCCTGGGCAACTCTCGGGTGATATGCGGAAACATGACGTGAAAATTGTGAAGAGTGAACATTCCAAGGGGAAGCATTCTTCTATGCAATGCTGTGTTTGCGCAGTTCACAAAAAAAGGACTATGACTGTCTACATTTGCAAGTGTGTAATGCCACTTCACAAAGGGGAATGTTTCCAGAAATATCACACTCTCAAGCACTTCTAGGAGCATTGGTGTTCTCCAAAAATTTTAGTTCATAAAATTAATTAGGAGATTTTATATTAATTTTTAAAGTGAACAGTGCACAAGTTAGGGTAGTAGGTATAAGTATGCTGGTCCCCAGGGTGATTTCAATATTTAAATCGCCAGTCTGCAAAGAGTTAAAAAGAGAGGTAGTTTATGGGTATAGTGAAGATTGTCATAATTTGTTTAATTTGGATATTTCAGGTTCTGAGCTGCAGAAGGCTTTTGAGACCATTGCTGAATATATCTGTGATGTGACAAAAAAAATTTCTGAAGAGAAACAGGAATTCTTTGTTGTGGAACATGCTGGAACTCACCTGATGCTGAAGAAACTTATACAGCATGACAAAGAGAGATTAAGGAATGGAGAAGGTACAGTATGATACGTGGTTCAATCCCATAGTTCCCGAAATTTGAATTTTGCGTGCAAATGATTATGAATACATCGAAATACCGCTAGGTATCTCCGCATCCACACACCCTTCTTGAATCTGTGTGGCAAGCAGCGTTGAGTTGAATGGTTGGGTTTATTATTGGTGAATGTATTTCCATTATTGTGTTTCCATGAGTTTGCGGTTTTGCAATGGCTGACCTGAGAGAGCAGCATGTCTATAAAGTTTTGTTTTAAACTTGGGAAAACCGCTACAGAAACGCACCAAATGTTGAAGCAAGCTTTTGGTGAAAACAGTCTATACCAGACACAAACTTATGACTGGTGTAAGCGTTTCAAAAATGGCCAAACATCAACTAAAAATAATGATCATTCGGGACGGCCGTCAAGTGCAACCACATCAGATAATGTCGCGAAAGTTAGGGATCCGATTATGCAAGATCGTAGACTGACCATCCAAGGCCTCTGTAACACCTTGGGACTAAGTTATGGTACACGTCAACAAATGTGGTCAGAGGAACTGAACATGAGAAGGATTGAGGGGAAGTTTGTTCCATGACTGCTGCAAAATGAACAGAAGCAACATCGCTTGGAAGTCTGCAGGGAACTTCAACAACAGCTTCAAGAGGATCCAGACTTTCTTTCGAAGGTTGTCACTAGTGACGAAAGTTAGGTTTATGCCTACGACCCTGAAAGTATGCAGCCCTCGTTGTAATGGAAGAGCCCTTCTTCACCTTGGCCAAAAAAAAGCTCATGAGCAACATTAAGTCCATGTTGATCTGTCTTCTCGATATTGACGAGATTGTTCATAAGGAGTTCGTCCCTCCTGGTCAGTCAGTCAATAAAGAGTTCTATCGCGATGTTCTAAGGCATTTGAGGGAGGACATGAGGAGAAAACGTCCAGAGAAGTGGCGCACGAACAACTGGGTACTCCACCATGACAACGCACGACCACATACGGCTTACATTGTGCAGGAATTTTTGGCTAAAAACAAGATGGCAGTTGTTCCCCGCCCACCGTACTCGCCAGACTTAGCTCCATGCAACTTCTTTCTCTTCCCCAAGATGAAAATCAAGTTGAAGGGGCGAAGATTTGATACAGTTGAGGAAATTCAATTAGAAACGCAGACGGTACCAAACACCCTAACAAAGAAAACCTTCAGGATGCATTTCAAAAGAGGCAGAAACGCTGAGAACGGTGTATGCGCTCACAAGGGGACTACTTTGCAGGTGATGGTGCAGAATAAAATCCAGCTAAGATGTAATAGTTTTTATTGATATATTTCAGGAACTTTTGGATTGCACCACGTATTTGGCCATCTACCTGCTTTACAAAGAGAATGTGTTGGATGCTTGTATTTCTGCAGTCATTAATTCCATCATCATCATCATCATCATTATGTTTTCTTGATTGAAGCAGATTTGTACATTGTGTTGTGCACACCAAATATTGATAATACTGCCTTAAAATACAAATATTATAAGTTATGATACATTGAGCACAGTACATCACTGTGGGTTGCGGTGCAAGGGCCAAGAAGGCCCACCACTTATACATTCATATAGTACTGATTACTTTAAAAATACATATGCATTTTCTGGTAATATGTTGGAACGATTCTACAGGAATAGACAGGCTATACAAATCACTTTCCATCTTGCCCTAAATTTATAATATAATGTATGCCAATTAGTCCATAGTTGTGAGAGAGCAGTGCATGTACTGAATCATCTTTTCCCCTCCATTGGAGTTTTTAAATTCACACACTTCCATGTTGAGTCTGAATTTTCTAATCATTTACTCATGAAAATTTGACTTGTTTCATTCTGGTCCGTCACACTAACAGTTATAAATACAAACCACTCCGTCCAATGTGACGTATAAGTTTTTACTACGTGAAAACTTATCTCCCTTACATGTTTCTGTCCTTACGGACCATCTTCAGAGGGAACATCATTATGAACTGGAAACTACCATCACAACAGATGTTTTGATTTAAAATACATACACTTATATCCTATAATGCACAGTACGCATAAAGTCGAACATTTCACAATCACAGCAGCTTCCTGGTATTGTAAAGTTTTTAAAAGTTTCTAGATGTTATTTAAAAAACCTTTATTGTCAATAGTTAAAATATTTAAACCACGTAGGTGCGTGTCCGTACTCCTATCGTCCTTCTTGTATGGGGCAGATTTTGTGCCGCCTGTCTATCTTGATGAGGAGGTTCTGCAAATATATTATGGGTATTTCACTATTTTAGTGATCCTACTGTCTATATATATATATATATATATATATATATGTGTGTG